TTTGAAAGTGCTTATGTCATTCAATTCAATTGACTCCGTGATATGTCATGAGAATGACCAGAGTTTACACCATACCACTCTATATAAACCTCTCCTTTCCCGGCGGAGCTTCAACAACACAACCAATGACGAACTTTTTCTTTGTTTATTTTTCATTTATTGGTTATTCACAGAGAGTATGTAAAAAGTGCTAAGACAGTGGCGTTCTCCCTAGCGCTATCCGCCTACTGAAAGCTGAATACTGAATATTTGTAATTAATGCTTGCACAGGCTGTTCAAATTCTGGGACCAATTTGCAATATAACAGCTTTTTCGTTTCCGCCTTCGTAAGAAAGGAGGCTCTCAACTTGTAATAACTTCGTATAGCCTACATTACGCGCCTCCGAAAGCCAATAATCTATCGAAAATTTAACCAGTACGCAAATATATGATATATCCTGTGTCTGAAAAAGTAAACTGCTGATTTTGTAACTTAGCAAAATGCTGAAAAAATCGAAGATTACTATCCTTCTCCGCGTGGTGGCGTGCTGCACATGGTGCAGCACGCGGCTTTAAGCCTACAAACATATATTAAATGTAGGCCCTTTATCAGGACAATCCCAGTTGGGAAGACAGAGAAAATTTAAAGGGATTTTTTCCTCAACCCGATTTCGGGGAAGCATACCTTACGGCCCCTGAGGCCTTGGAGCGATCCCCATACGACACTCACCACCACAGTAACCACTACCGTTAGCTATCCATGGTATTTGATTCTGGAACCACTTGACCACCGTGAACCCGCTAACAATTCATCGAAAGCTGCTGTACGGCGGGAGAACGGCAAATAGTTTATTTCTCTTCTACTCCATTCATTTTCGTAGAAACTTGTGAAAGCCCATCGCAAATCACCTCACGAAAGACAACCCTAATTCTCAATCTTGCGCCACCACGATCCTTCATTGAACTAGGCATGACGAATGGCTTGACCCCACCACTGTCTGCCTATCATAAACTCGAAAGATTACCGTCCCAGTAGAAGGAAAGATTCCACTGGCTTACTATTTTTGAGCATTATCTTCTATGTATATTTGACAGTTCTATTGGCTGCCTATGCATGGCAGCCAGCAATTCCCACCTGTGTTAGAAACCATGTAGACAGTCAAATTTTCGGTGCTACCACAATATACGGCCGCACTGATAGCAATGATTTTTCACCATGTAATGCATCCCTTTTTTGTCGAAAAGAAGGGACGAAGTTTTAGGCGGTGGAGGAGAGACTTTGCGATGCGTATTCCTACGCCCTCCTAGGCATAGTTCTTTTCCCTATATCTTGCTTCGATAGCGCCCAATTTTCTTTTTGTTTGGACTCATTAGGTGTTTTTATTCTCGGCGATTCGCGACCGTTTCGTGCTCATCGAGAAGGGTTTGATTCCCAGTTTAGCCGATGCCGAACCCATTTAGTTTTTTTTTTTTCAACTAGTCACTGTTGTTATCTTGTGTCGGTACTCACATCGAGTTAAAGCTCTTTTGAACGTGATCAATATGTAAAGAAATAAAGAAATGATCAAATGTGGGCTCTTATGATTGCCATCGAGACCACCTACTTGGCCAGCTTTGTGTCAAAAAACCACCTGAAACGTAATTACTTTTTTCTATGTTTTGTTAAATTCGACCTTTGCTGTGGATCGAAGAATTTGACCTTAGCTTGTTGAATGAGTCCTGTTTTCACCCTTTGAAAGTGCTTATGTCATTCAATTCAATTGACTCCGTGATATGTCATGAGAATGACCAGAGTTTACACCATACCACTCTATATAAACCTCTCCTTCCCGGCGGAGCTTCAACAACACAACCAATGACGAACTTTTTCTTTGTTTATTTCTCATTTATTGGTTATTCACAGAGAGTATCTAAAAAGTGCTAACAAGGAAGGTCCTTCAGGTCGCCATGGCCGTTCAAATGAGATGTATACCACTGATGCGTCTCTGAGACGCTGATTCCAAATCTGCCTTCCAAATCTGCTAAACGACTCTCCGAACGGAGTTATGAAGCGTAATAGCTCAGTGGTGATGGTCCGGGGTGGCAGGTAAAAGCTCGTAGGATCGGTTCCTTTGCAAGTTTGTTGCTTTGCTTTTGTCCGCAACACTTCTAGAGACAAAAGCAAAGCAACCAATTTGCAAAGGAACCGATCCTACGAGCTTTTACCTGCCACCCCGGACCATCACCACTGAGCTATTACGCTTCATAACTCCGTTCGGAGAGTCGTTTAGCAGATTTGGAAGGCAGATTTGGAATCAGCGTCTGGAGACGCATCAGGTGGTATACATCTCATTTAGAACGGCCATGGCGACCTGAATCCTTTCCTTGTAAGCACTTTTTAGATAC